AGAATTAGTGCAAAGCTCAAAAAGCTCGGTCTAAAACAAACTTTTTTGCAAAGTTTGAGCTGGGACATATATATCAAATAACATAAATACTTGATCCATAGATAAATCATGAATAAGAAGAGAAACAATTTGATGTTTTAATTGAACAATTGTTACATCAATTTTAATATTGTGGAATTCCAACAGATCTAAACCCCCATAGTGACCCTTAGGGTTAATAATATGAACGGATTCATAACCCAAAGTTTTGCTTAATCTCTTACTGTTAGAAGGAGATACCATAGTTTCTATAGCTATAAACATGTCCGGGTTACACTTTTTATTAAGAAATATCATTTCACCAATTGCCTGCGGACATTTGGCCCCTCTAGTACAAGCTACTTTGATAAATATTGTCAATAAACCTATTCAATGGGTCGAAATCAAGGGCGGGGTGAGTCAATTCTTAAAGGGTCGGAGAAGGACGGGTCACATTAAAATTTAAGGAAAGTGGGTTGGGTCGATACCCATCATTTTTCCCCCAACCCTTTTACTTTTGAGAAAACTTTACATCCGTTATTCTTTCTTCTTAGTAGATAAATTGGTATGTGACTCTTTGATTTTTTATGTCTGTCATATGCAACTATGGAGAGAAAATAATTTAGAGAAGAACAATAGAAATATGGTTTAAACCCCCCCCCTCCCAGATCAAGGTTATCAATCAATTCTCCTATTTCGTAACCAAAAAAAAAATAGATTTTGAAAGCATCCATGATCCATCATAATTGATCGAAAAAGAAAAACGAGTCGAATTCAGGTTTGATTGGAGGATGAAATTAGAGTTGTTTGAGTCTTAATATCTCCCTTTTTTAATTCTCGTTTTTTTAAAATAAAAAATTCCCAAAGAAATCTAACATACAATTGATGGAGTACAAGATTGTAGAAATGATATTTGAGAAAATAGAAGGGTAAAAGGGAAATTAATATTAAAGCGAAAAACATGTTTATTGAAAAGAAAAAATAATGAAAATAAATAATCTCATCATTGCTCAATCGATTTTTCCAAAACAATCCCACCTTCCGAGTTTCCCAAAACAATCCCACCTTTGACATGGATCTTTGTTTGAAGATCCATGACTTGGTGGTGACCGATTTTAGCAAGTTTATTGCCACGTGTCAACTTTTAATTAGTTTAATTCATTTTATAAAATGAAAAAAAAAATTAAGAAAACAACCTCGCCCCTCTAACTGCTTGAACAACCACCCTTACACTGCCCTGATCCATGGCCACTTCTTCTCCTCCCCATCCCCACACCCGCCAAGCATGTCGAAAACCCATACAATTCAAGCACAACCCAGATATGAGTGAGTTTGAATTTGATTTTGATTTGAAAATGTGGGGTGTTGTTTACAATTAGGGATTTTGTTGTTGATGATGATGCTTGATAGGGTCGTAAAATATAATTTATATATATATTAAACTCTTGATTTTATATTGACATTTGATAATTTAAGAGTATTATAAGTAATTTTCTTTCGTAGACTTGAGTTACTACTATTTTATTTATTTGACTATAGGAAGGAAGATTACGACACTAAATTACATTTTTACCAACGCTCGGATTAAAAGAAACCAAGACCACATGACCAGATTAAGTCACATTTGTCTCAAGCCCAATAAGATATTATTGTGAATGGGTATACTAGAGGAAAGAGAGCTACAAACCTACAATACTCATCAGAACCTTTTTCTCTTTATTTCGATGAGCACTGAGGTAAATTTCTTGAGCGATTTTTGTGGGTACCAAACTGTCAAGCTAGAAAAGATAGAGATGAAATCAGATAAGGATGAGAGCGTTCGGGATCAAAGATTCCGGGTGATAAGATTGGGATGCCGAATGGGAAGAAAGGGGGTTGTTTTTGAGATTGGAAGGGGGGAGATTTTTTTGGACTGTTTTTGGAGTAAAGCCGAATTGCATGCGAGAGGAGGCGATCTTCTGGGCAGCGAATTGAGGAAAAAATCAGAAAACGAACTCAGAGCAGTGTAGTAGCGGTGAAGAGAAACAACATCAGTCGAGAGGACTTAGCTGTGTTCTGGAATTTGTCATTTGCTACGGGATTTTTCTGGGCTAGGTTTCAGGAATAAAAATTAAAGAAATTCCTTGGAGCACTGCAACTCGTGTCGTAGTCTTCGGTAATCATCAAATTGGTTTTGATACTACATTAGTTTAATATCTCCTTTTACTCTTTGTATTGGATTTCATTTTGGTAATAATAGTCAGAGTTTGATTTCTTATTAAGATATAGGATTGAATTTTATTATTAAGCTAATCATTGGTAGTTTATGGCATTTGTTAAATGTTGGTACTTTGTGCTTCGTTTAGCTACTGCTAGCATTATCAATTTCGATGTTTAATTATTTATATCATATTATGAAGTTTCTTTTTGTACTTGTTATTGTAATTTCAACTCTTAATATGTTAGGCTAATTCTTCTTAGGGTAGGGATATATATTATGCATTGGATTATTTTGTTGTGAGAATAGAGATGTTATAATTCTTGGGTATTATGTTTATTTCTTGATTGGGTTGATAATCTGTTTTATTAGTATGAATTACCAGATTATATTTTAGACCGGCCATCTTTAGTATAATTTGCTAGTTTAAATGCTAGAATATTAATCTATGATACGTAATTGTCCGGTTGGTACTCCTTAGTAGCACTTAGGTGTTTAATAGGTGACTGAAACTTGTCTGATGCCTATGATTATCAGCTCTTTAAGTTGCACGAATCCGAGCTTGTGAGATTTGTGGCTTAAGTTAGCTACTTCCTAGTTATTAATGCTGCTAATTAATCGAGTTTAGAGAGCTTGTTCTAGATTGTTAGTTAGTTAGACAATACTCCAAGAGCATGTTTGGTTTATTTGCAATTAAGGGAAGTGTTGAATGTTTGTTTGTGTTCATCGGCTAACATTGAGATAAGAACATAATTTTTATAATTCGATGATCAACAAATACTCCAATTCTATAATATGTCTCCCGATCCCTGTTTTATTATTATTGATTTTTATCATATTTCAATTTTAGTAGTCTTTCTTTCGTACTTTATTTGTCCCATAGTTCATAGTAGTTTATTTATTAGATCGTAGTACTATTTCTTCAGAACAGGGGTTTCTAACTTACACAAGTTATAATTTAATAAACCAATTCTCTGTGGGATCGACCCTAGCTTACCCTACTACATTTTAGGAGGTTGGAGTTAGGTTTATTTTTGGTAGACACGCGACAGTTGTATCAATGCTCAGGTGGGGAATCAGCGTGCTTGGGGGAGTTTTTAGGGTGGCTAGGGATTTTTCGAGGGTGTTTTCGGGAGTGTCTAGCTAGTGAGGTTTTTCATGCAGTAGGGGACAAGGCTGGGGGTTTCGGGGCGACAAGAGGGTGGGGCTAGGGTTTTCGGGTTGACAGAGGGGTAGGGCTGGGGTTTTTTTGGCGGCAAGAGGGTGTGGTTAGGGGGTTTTGTGGCGGCAAGGAAGTGTGGCTGGGTGTTTTTGGGGTGGCGATTATGGTGGTTGGCATGAAAGGGGGATGGGGAGGTAGGAGGAGAGTGAATTAAAAAAAAAAATCATTTTAACCTGTATAACATATTGCAGGTCAAATGGATCTTTAAAAGAAGATTCATGTCAAAGGTGAGATTATTTTGGATTAATTGATCGGTGAGATTGTTTTGACAAGACCGAGTAAAGGTGAGATTATTTATTTTTATTTTTCCTATTGATAATGAATAAGTTGTTGTAGTGATATTCTATAGATAAAGAAAATTTATGATAATTAAACATGGAAATTCCCAATAACAAAATTGTGGGGCTAATTATCCTAAGGACATCTAGCTTAAGTTTATTTTTACAATAATAAAATATATATAAGTACCACTAACTTTATGAAAAGTATTCCGTATTTAAGTTATGAGTTCAGCTAAAATAATACGAAATACTTCGTATAATTTACATAAAATAATTAATTACAACAAAAAGGTCAAAGAAAATTACTACATTAAATTTTTTAAGCTATGCCCTCAAGGTTGTTGGGTTTCTAAGGTGTGCCCATGCTTTTTCAAAATTACAAGTTGTGCCCTCCAACTTAAGTTGTTTAATCCACCGTACCCTCTGATGTAAACTCGACGTTAGTTTTTGTAAATAAATAGGAAGTAATAGAAGCAGATGAGAAAAAAGAATAAGAAATACATCGAGAGCTTAACATATCAATGGTTGTTTTTAGAAGAAAGAAGAAAAAGTAGATGAGAAAATGTGGAAAAAATGCTAAATATTAACCTACTTATATAACTCTAACCCAATTTGGGCTTGAAATTTCTCTCTAAGTTGTGGTGATAAACTGTTAACACAACTACTAACGTCGGATTAACGTTATAGGGTACGGTTGAATAAACACCTTAAGTTTGAGGGTACATCTTGTAATTTTGAAAAAGCATGAGCACACCTTATAAACTCAATAATCATGGGAGTATAGCTTAGGAAAAACCAATTTAATTTTACAACCAATCTTTAATTTTTTATTTATTTATTGAATAGAACCAATCCTTAATTTGAAAATAATAATAATACTAATAATAAACTTTAAATCCCAAAAAAGGGGAATATAATGGAAGGAAAAATGATAAAAAAATAAAGGGTTTTTCTAAGCTATGCCCTCAAGGTTGCTGAGTTTTTAAGGTGTGTCCCTGCTTTTTCAAAATTACAAGTTATGCCCTCCAACTTAATTTGTTTAATTAACTATACCCTCTGCCGTAAACTCGACGTTAACAATTGTAAATAAATAGGAAGTAATAAGAAGCGGATGAGAAAAAAGAATAAGAAATACACTGAGAGCTTGACATATCAATGGTTGCTTTTAGAAGAAAGAAGAAAAAATAGATGAGAAAATTTGGAAAAAATGCTAAATGTTAACCTACTTATATAACTCTAACCTAATTTGGGCGTGAAATTTCTCTTTAAAGTGTGGTAATAAACCGTTAACACAACTACTAACGTTGGAATAATGTTATAGGATACGGTTGAATAAATACCTTAAGTTGGAGGGTACATCTTGTAATTTTGAAAAAACATGGGCACGCCTTAAAAACTCAAGAACCACGGGGCATAGCTTAAACCCAAAAATAAAAAATAAAATAAAATTCACTAGTTTTAGCAAATTCGCAATTTCTCACAAAACATCTTTCTGCACTTCCACTGCTCAACTTTCTCCCTCTCTCTCTCCGCCCTCTTGCTCCCCTCTCTCTCTCCTCCTTCTCCATTGAAGCGCACTCAACATCGCACTTGAAGTTCTCCATTTGGTAAGCTATTATTTCTTCTAGTAATAATCATTTCAATTTCACAATCTAGGGTTCATCTTTCATCTAATTTTATTTAATTGTCAGTACAGTAAGTGTAGGGTTCGAAAGTCTCAACTATTGGCTCTAAATACTAAGATTATGAAGCGATTATGTTGCTAGAAATTTGATAATTGAATCGCATATCCCTAATATTATGTAATTTGTTTGATAATTGAATCGAATTTGGTTGCTAATTTGGTTTTGATATGCTATTTCGATAATGTTTATCGATTTTTAAAGTGAGATTGTTATTGTTATAATTTGAGCTCAAACTATTGTTGTTGTTGAACCAAAGAGATGTGTTTTGTTGAACCCTTTTGAAAGAATTTGAATGTTGATTTTTCTTTTAAAGGTTGGTTTGCCTTTTGGCCTCAATTTTCTCTCATTTCTTCTCGAAGAAAACCAAACCATTAAAAAAAAAAAAAAAATTGTCCAATACTTCACCCCCGGGATTGGGCGTCGGTTTCAAATTAATTGTTTTGCAAACCCTTTTCAAAATATTGCTCATTTATAATGAAGTGATGTTCTTTTGAGGATATTGCGTGTGAGATGAGGATTCTCTTCTTCAGGGTTTGATGTTGGTGTCTGCCATAGATGAGGCTTCAAAAGGTTTTTTTTTTTTTTTTTTTTTTCCATGTATTAAGCTGAGAGAAGAGAGAGAAGGTAAGGGATTGTTTTAGAGGGACTAAGGAGAGGAATTTGCCATTATTAAAGGAACTTGGTGCCTCTATTGTGATTTGTGATAGCAAATAGTAATCATCAACTTCATGTTTTGGATGAAAATGGAAAGAAAAAGAAAGAGAAAAGGGAAAAAAAATAGAAATTGAAAATTCAATGCCAGGAAATAGTTGCACTCCCATTATTCGGGAAAAGGTACCTTTTTACAACATTTTTTGCTTTACAAAGTAGTTATTTACAACATTTTTTTTATAAGATAGTTTTTCATAAAACCAATTTTATAAGGTATGGAGTAGTAGGGGTCCAGGGGAGTACCATTAGTTTCCCACAAATTTTTCCTTGAATAACATAACTTTAGGCTCTCATTATGTTCCTCTGTAAATGTTGCCAAGTAAAAGGAAGAATACACCTTTTTGGGCTGTATTTTCAGGTAATTAGTCTCTACAACTATCTAACTTCCAGACAGGCCCTAGCCTATAGCTCTATCGATAACATTTTTGCTATCTTAAATTTTAGGTGACTTTAGGAAGGAAGAGTGTCAAAAGGAAGTTAATAATGAATGTATGGGTAGTGAAGGAAGGAAGCGAGTATATGGGGTTACGAAGTATGAAATACTGTATAATTTCTTATACTAGGAACTTAAGTTCGTTTTGTTTTTTGTTGATGGATTTTTTTTTTTTCCCTGCTCGTGCATTGATTTATAGTCGGAATTTTTTGAGGTTTTCATTTCCTTGTCAAGCTTGCATTCATAAAATCCGGTTTCCCTTTAATGGTATCGGAGTGGCAGCTTGAAAATATGTACAAGTTGATGGTAAATGGTGATGATGGGTAGTTTTATATTTGCTATAAGTTTACCTTAATTGAGGTATATATACTACAGAGTATGTAATTCCATTTTCTTATTTGAGTAGAAAGTTAATACATTATTGCTGCTGATTGAGTATAAGTTTGACCAGGCAACTTTGGTTTCTGTTGTAACTTGTTCATCTCTTTGTAGTTATCTAGAAACAATGTTCATCAAAGTACAACTGCCTTGGAATGTGATCATCCCTTGTGAGCATATGGATGTCAAAGGATTGATGCTGCAGAAGTCGGTCATACTTAGGTTGATGGAAGATTTTGCAGCCAAGAAGGCAACAAAGGAGCTTGGCTATCTGCTTGCGGTCACAACTCTGGACAACATAGGAGAGGGAAGAGTCAGGCAGCAATCTGGGGATGTTCTTTTTCCTGTTACCTTCAGCTGTCTCACTTTCAAGATTTTCCGTGGAGAGGTTTTGGAAGGAACTGTCCACAAGGTCTTGAGGCATGGGGTGTTCTTGAGATCTGGACCCATCGAGACCATATTTCTCTCTGCTCAGAAGATGCCTGGCTATCAACATGTTCCCGGTGAAAATCCTATGTTCATAAGTGAGAAGCAGTCGAAGATTGAGAAAGATGTGGTGGTGCGCTTTTGTGTCATCGGGACTAAGTGGGTGGAGACTGAAAGGGAATTTCAGGCTGTGGTTGGTTTGGAGGGAGACTTTCTTGGACCTGTCTGATCTTTTAACTTGTTGCATGCTCTGCCTGATCTGCCAAATCTTAAAATCTGGGTATTTTTCTAACTGTAGTAGGATGTATATATTTGGTGTTACACCATTAACTGTTGCTTGAATGTGCTTGGTTCAAAGCATTGATTTCGGAAGTATTAGGGTAATGCACTATGGATTGTTATTAAACCTGCCTATGAGCTGTATGTAAGCTTTTTAAAAGAGCATATGTAGACATCAGCTTGGAATTTGCTTTCATATCGTCATTTTATTGCTTAGTCTCGAAAGAGGTTTTCGTCCTTGGACTGCTATGCATGTCAGGTCTCGGCAGGGAACAGGTCTCTTGAATCGCAATGCAGGGAGGAGTATTAAAAACAGTTCCTTGCAAAATTGTGTAGCAAAGTACGAGTAACAGTGATCTTAATTCACAAATATTTTTTGTTTTGTAATTAATAAATCAACGAGCTTAGAAGCGAACGGAATCAGCGCAATCCGTGCATGAATATAAGTAGTTTCCAAGAAAGCTAGAGACAATAGATGTAAATTTACCCAAACTTGGATCAAATTGTGTCACCTAAATTTGATGTGACTGTTTAGTTTGAAGGTTTTTATTTTGTTTCAGGAATGGATAGTTTTAAAAGTGTAATAAATGCGATTAGGCTTAAACCATGGCGCAAGTGTTAAGTCGAAAGAAAATGACATGTTTGGGCATGTTTAAGGACTAGTTAAGTCCTAAACTTTTAATTTTACTTTTTAACGAACATCATAAGATAGTTTGAGTAATTTTCATCATTAACTAGTTTTTTGGTTTTTGCAATGCCCCGAGTCATTACATGAATTACAATAACTCTAAATGATATTCATGATTTAAATCTTGTTTCAAATCTTATATAAATCATATTTCTAAATTTTTATAATGTGTAATGATATGGAATAATAGCCAATAACGAAACAAGTAATTAGTCGAGCTAGAGAAATTAAGTTAATAACAACACTGATTTAAGGAATCATAACCTAAACATTCCGAGAAGTCTTGGCCCCAAATTAACATGGGAAATTCTCAATGGTGCTCATTAGTTTTTTTATTTTTCTCAATGATGAATAGCAAAAATTTCAATTATGTTTGGTAATCACGAATTATTAGTATTGATTAATCATGACACTAAGGATTTGTTTGGTTAAAACTTTAACTAGTTAGATTTTTTTTATTTTTCTAATAATTAAATTATTTTCAAAATAACTAAAAAAAAACCACCGCATCCCCAACAACTCAGCCACCCCCGCCCTTCACCGCTCCCCGGCACCGGTACGCCCAAATCCCTCCCAATTGGCGTTGTGCTGAACCCCCCTCCCCTTGTCGCATCCTCCTTCCGCCAAACCACTCAACTTCTTCCCGGAAACCCCTCTCCCTCCCCCACGAAACCCCCTAAAACCATCATCCCACCTTTGAAAAACCCTAACTGGCCCTCCCTTGCCATAGCTAGGGTTTCGGTTGGGATTTTTCGAGGGTTGGGGATGGTTTTTAGAGGGTTTAGGGTTTCGTGGGGGTAAGGAAGGGGGTTAGTGGTTCGTGCGGCGCTGACGCCAGGGGGTCAAGGCGCAGCTGACGCCGGGGGATCAAGGCTAGGCGTGGGTGGTGGTAGGTGGTTGGCTAGCTGGGGTGGGGAAAGAGTGGGTGGTGGGTTTAACTTTTATTTTATTTTTAAAAAAATTTAAATGTTAAAAAAATAAAGGAAAATTTGATTTTCAAGGATATATTAGTGCATTCACCTTAACTATGGTTAGACTTATAATTGTATATTTATCTCATTAATGTCACCACTGAATTAGTAACACAAATATTTGATTACCAAGTATAATTTGATTTTTTTGCTGTTTACCATTATGAAAAATAAAAAAACTTAAGAGCACCATTAAAAATTTCTCAATTAGCATTGGCATTACGCTAATAATAATATGTGATTCTAATGGCCCAAACACATAAAATTTTTATTTACAAAATTTTGACCTATTTTTCTTTATAAATCCGATGAAAATGTCCAACCTTGTCGACACAAGCATTGACATCACGTGACACATACCTAAATGTGACGGTGCGATCTTAAAAGCTTGCATGAATGATATAGCAAATTTGATGTCTAAGATTTCAAAAGCGAGACTTTTTGATTTTTTGTTGTTGATTTACTTTGCCAGTAAACTCAAGAGAATTCTTAGAATCTGAATAAAGAAGGTAGCATTTTCTATCAATGGCATGATGTTGGGTGACGAAATTTAATATTGCAGTCAGTTCCAAGTAGTTTATGTTAGTGGTGTCGTAATGCCTATTTGTTCCGTGATCAATTATATCTCCTAATTTATCGCGCCCAATGTAACTACAAGCACCTCCAATATGGACGTTATATCAAATAGGGCGGAATCTAAATTCAAGGTAGTATAAGAAAGATAATATAAAAATTATGAGTAATTTATTAATACACATAATTATACGTTTTGATAATGTGCAATATAATATATACAAATATATAATTTTGTTATGAAATAAAGGGGATAGGAGAAAGTATGGGAGAGAATAGATGGATATTCTTATTAATCAATGATGTAGGAGTACATATATATACATATATATGTGATACAATTAGGGTTTCCTTGTAGAATAATAAACATAGTATATCTAGAATATCCTAGAATTATCATAAGGGTATAATGGATATCCACTAAATACATATATTATATAACACTCCCCCTTGGATGACCATTATCAAATAGTGTGCCTCATTAAAACCTTACTAGGAAAAACCCGATGGGATAAAAACCTAGTGAAGGAAAAAGAGTGCAACACTTTCATAATATGTCTTGACATGCTGCCTCGTTAAAAACCTTACCAGGAAAACCCAATGTGGGACAAAACCATGGTTAAGGGAAAAAAGAGTGCAGCGCGTATTTTCTCCCCCTGATGAATGCATAACTTGAGATCTTCCAATGTAATAATCCAATGCCTTAGTAACTTCACACTTGTAGCTAACTATCATTACTTAATAGTTGATCTTCCCTGATCAAACTTGAATCTTCATTGTAAAGCATCTTCGTTTATCCATACTTGTGAGAACAATACCTATGTTGCGTTTACCACTATCTTATATGACATTTTTGTTTCAAGTTGCCTTACCGTCAAAATTATGCCTACTTCTGGAGGTCGTAAAAGTAGCTATTGATAATCAAATATTGATAATAATTTATGGCAACCCGTAATACCTTGATATCATTATCTAAGTTTAAATGAATTAGTAATATATAACATAATTAATTATTATATACTTTACTCATGGTTCTTCTGGACCATAAGAAGATGATTCTTACTATAATATATCTCATTACTATTCTTCTTTAGACATTTTGCATTTTATACGAGAGTTCTCCAATGTGTACAAAATCGATTAACTCTCACATGGTTAAACTTCAGGTTGATATCTCAATAACTTAGTCACCAATACTTTCCATGAGTTTGATAACAATATCAACATTGTCATTTTTTAGAATATAGAATTTGAAGGGCTAGATATTTGAATACGTTGTATGTAAGTTTTTCGGGAACTTTTCATGCATGCATGATACATAACATGTAATTGGATCGTCATCATATAAACATTCATCACAATTATAAGCCCATCGGAGTATAAGTTTCTTCTTGTAAGTCTTCATCATAATTATAAACTCGTCATACCACAAACATTCACATATAACACAATTGTTGTTGTATAGAACTATTACTAATGCATGCAATATGAGGCGTAGAATTCATGATAACACATTAAACAAAATATATATGTAATGAGTAATGCATCAAACTACATCCTATACATACATTGAGTGATGCATAAATCTAAAACTCAAACATGCACATACATTAAAGACTCAAAATGCAAACACTGTACAGTGTGGATTTCAGAAATCCATTTTCTAATTGGACTACTAGTCCATGATAAAGTTTTGATCATTAGCATTCATATTTCATTGGACTTCTTGTCCATGATAACCTTTTGATTTATTATCTTAGTTTCATGTCAACATCAAAATGGACATATATTTCTATCCCTTATGCACAAGTCCATTCCTTCTGCATATGCATATTATATATCGGTTCCATCATATTCCGATATCATATAATTCCTCAAGGTACAATTTTAATTTGCATGCTATTTTACCAATGATATCTGAATACGTTTCTCATTCGTACCATCATAACTTTTCTTACATCATAGGCCATCTATTGTAATAATTTAGATATCTATACCACTTTTGGGGTATTTCATACACTATGGTATTTATATACTATTACAATATTAAAAGTGTTAACTGCGCTATCTTGCCACATATCATATCTTTATTTTGGAACAGATCATACAACCCACACTTCAGGTGTAGTGATTTAAGTATAATTGGCAAGATTTTATCTCAATGTATACACATAATATGACCAAAATGTATCTTCAACGCTATGCAACATGAGTCATAACTGAATACAAATCAAATCATAAATGTGCAACATATTTTGATAATATATATAGACAAAAGTTGGCATATAATTTTTCAAACTACCATTATAGGGATCATCAAATTCTTTTCGATTTCCAACTTTTGCCGATTCTTTTCCCCTTAAGTTGGTAAAGTATCTCATTTATAGGGGCGTCTAATTATATACCAACTTAGTATATAAATTTGAATTAAAATTCATTTCATTGCGAAGATCACAATCAAAATTTATCTCTCAGAAGATTTGTATTAAACAACATTTATCTCTTCTGGAGAAGAATTTCAATGAAGAATCATTTCTTCATTAACTTTACATTGCATGTGTATTTATTATTACAATTTCCATAATATGTTCTCTTCTGGAGATCAATGTCAATGGGGAGACATGTGTTTGTGCAGTTGTATATTTTTCCTTCTTCTCCTTTTTCTAATGTGCTGACATATAATAGCCCCAATAAAAAGAATTGATATACAAGCGTAAATCACTTGCTTGTAATTCTACTAGGTGGTGATCTTCTAGATCTTTGAAGACTTAAATAGTGTATTTGGTGAGCTTCTGGTCACCTAATACTTGACAATAATACATAAGTTATTTTGGTAAACTCCTAGTCACCTACTACTCTTTTGTATATATAAAAATCAAAACCTATTAACTCTTGAAATTTTCATCAACACAAAATTATTATAGCTCAATCTCAATGTTATGTCTTTCCATTTAATTCATTTCATATATCTAACATTGAGAGAG